ACGACCCTCTCTTCCTACTTTATAGTAGTGTGGAGTTGGCAGCGATCAGGGACCGGCATTTCAAAGTGGCACAAGTATAGGTGCCATTTAGGCCATTCTGCCTTAAATTTAAAAGGTCCAATTTTGTACATTTGTCAAAAGCAGGGACAAAAAATAAAAGGGAAACTTTCATAAAGCACTATCTTTTAGTAGTAATTAGCCATCTATAGATACCATTTGCTATATTACGGATTATATATACCTTTTATGTGGTTATTAGATGTATTTGATGTATTTAAGCTATTGTATTCATGAATACAGTAGCAAAAATAGGCGTGAATCAGGGAAGTCCAGCTAATCAGTTGTTGTATTCGAGTGTATTCGACTATATTCATGGAGTGAAACATGGGATTACAACTGGACAGATTATTGTATTCGACTGTATTCACGGCGTGAAATAGGAGATTACACTGTTTTTAAAACGAAAAATGAATCAATTAACATAATAGACTCCTAATATAACTCAACAAACTCAATTATAACACACAAATTTTATATTTTCAGTTATAAAAAAGATTCTCAACCAAAAAATACCCCAAAAACATAGCAATCTTCAGAGAAATTATATAATACATCTGAATACATAAATTATATTAATTAAAAAAAAGTTATGAATACATTTATGGCATATAGCGAGACAGTGAATATAATAAAATACATAGAATACAGCGGGATACATTGAAATACAATGAGAAAAAAAGATAGGGAATACAATAAAATACATGAAATACAACGAGACACATTGAATTGCAATGAAAAAAAAGACAATGAATACAATGAAATACATGAAAATACATTGAAATATATTAACAGAAAATCAAGTTGCTCAGCCCCAAACTCCATCGTCTTTGTTCAAGAACAAACCAACCGGATTATATGTCGGCGGCTGCTGTTCAAGAATCAGTTTAATGTCGGCGGCTGCTGTTGTTGGTGAGAATCTTGAACATAGCAATCTTCAAGAATCAGTGCATCTATTATAATGGGACGGGGGCTTTGCACAAGAATCAGTTTTGACTGATAATTAATATATCTACAAATCAAGAAAACAAGGGACAGAGAAAGGGAGGGAGGAGAAAAGTTTAATGTCGGCGGCCGTTTTTCTTCTTGATTGCCCATAGACCCTTTTTGTGGTACATCTTGGAACGGGAAAGTTTTCCCACTCCACGAATCAGCTCTGGATTGCGGGGACTCTTCTTTGCGGCCATTGATGAAAGTTGATCGGAGGAAGAGATCGAAAATTTTAATGGGATGGGGGAAGAGAATGGGATGTATCAAAGTAGAGAGAGAAAAAAAATAGTGTAACTGATTAGCGTATTTAGTGGCTTAGGGCTAAAATTAAATATTTTGCTATAAACCTTAAAAGGTATCTATAGAATATAATTTTTTTAAATGGTATTTATTTAAAATAAATAAGGTGTTAACCTTTGCTATAAGAGGTAAAAATTTCAAAAATAAACGCCAATTCACAGAGGAACAACCAGTATAAATTTTTGTGTTTTCTAACATGTTATTTCAAGTTTGGGCTTAGAATTTTTGGATAGTCCAATAAATGTTATAGTCTATAAACATCAGTAACTCAAAATAAAGCTCAAAACAAAAATAAATCTATACTATTTACTAACAAAAGAAATTCAATTTAACATTTGAAATCTCAATAACGTCATATTTTTTTGGTTTTCACAGTGAAACACATAACTTAGTTTTATTTTTTCTTTAATGTTTCGTCATGTTATTAACACTTATTAGCAATACTTATTTTTGCTTGACTTAGTACTTTTAGGCTATATCTATTTTAATTTGGGCTTAGAAGCAATATTTGTTAAACAAAACTTTAGTATTTTTATTTTATGTTATTTTCTTGGAAAATAGCTTATGTTTTACTATGACTAAAAAAATATTTGAAGAAAAAAGTAATATGTTTTGTGCTATGAGGACTCCATAAAATAGAAGTAAGAAAATTGAGATAATAAAAAGATCGAGACTGAAAAACCAGGCTTTTGTTGGTTTATTTGGGTTAATAAATTTAAAAAATCAACACAATTAATTTGGTTTGGTAAATAAAGAATCTGAACGAACTCGACTTATGTACCCACTACTTGTGACCTAAAGCAACTTTTGAATCCACTTTGTCACCTTTTTGAAATCAACAATCTATATGTTACAAAAAAATATTTTTATCCTATATACACAGTATAATTCTCGACGACGTAAATTTAATTGAAACCCCTTCCCTCTTGCTAGCTGCAACCCTGACTAAAAGTTCTCTATATTTTTCATTAGCCTATAGGTTTCTAACAAGACTGAAGACTCGTGGCTAACATAACATACAAATTACGTGATTAAATCTTATTTTCATTTAATAAATATCACCTATATCCGTCCTTTTCTTTTATTGTACTCTCTTTTCACTAAGTTTGAATTTGTATTCCGTCTATTTCTGGTTCTTATTCTTTCATTATGGTGCAGCTCTTTTTGAAAAGTTTACATTGACCCCCTTTTTCTGACCATTAAAGAGTGGGGGCCTAAAATTGGATTGCCCTTCCCAATTTCCAGGTGGTGCACTCATCTTGATCTGTTCCTAAGGTGTTAACCTCTTCAAGGATAACCTGCTTTGATACCAATCGATATTTTATACTTCAATATCACACAAGAGGGGGGGGGGGGGAGGGGGAGGGGGAGGAAGTGGTTTGTGTGGTACCCAATTTTCACTTAACTTGATTATAGAAGGACCTAGTTCTTCTATGTGTTCCAACTATTACTGTTTGCGGAATAATAAGTAAAGAAAATAAAGAACACAGAGATTTTTACGTGGAAAACACCTGGCTCAAAAGGTGAAAAAACCACGACCTACTACTCAGTAGGATTTTCCCAAACTTCCACTAAATTCACTAAGCCAAAAACTGCATTTATAAAAACTCTTTTGTAAACCTAGGATTATTTCTAATTCCGTTGTGGTACACAGCCTCAACTGTTATGACAACTTCAAGTTTACTCTAACTTGAACACTCTAAGTACCTAATACAATTGCTTCTATAAAAGCTGAAAGGTACAATGTAAAATCACCTACTACAATTGAACTAGAACAAAAGATAGACACTTGGAACTGGTTCTTCTATCTGGTTCAAGTAGCTTCAGTATTGCACGTTTGAATCACACACAATCTCAATTCACGTTTAATTGCATTGCCTGTAAAAGAGAACAACATTGATATTTAAGGAGTTAGTAATTAGAGATTGACTGGGATACAGACGCTACTCTTCTATAGTAGAAGAGTTCTAGTTGATCTCATATTCTAACACTATCCTCTTCCTAAACTGTGTTCTCTTCGTGTAAGGAGTCTTTCTCTCCTTATCCAATATGCAACCTTTTCGATCAGATCAGGAGATATTACTTCTGATAAGTTAGATTTATCTCCTTCACGTGCATCTCACATGTGTGGATTGATCATGGCTGTGCTTCACAAGATGGACCTGGTCCATGTCTGAGTTCTTTTGTCAGTCTTCAAAACTTCACATTTACTTGGGCCAACACAGTTATCTGTAATGACTCTTAGAAGTTCGTGAATCATGACACTAGATTCTGGGATGTGTACAATTATTTGGGTTATTATAAAATTCTTCACTCTTTTAATCTGTTATGGTTTAATTATTGTTATTTACTGAATTGTATAAGAGTTAGCGTATTAATCTCTAATCGTTGGCTTGCCTAGCAACTAAAAGGTTAGGCGCCATCACGGTTTTGACAGTAGAAAATCCGGATCGTGACACTCTACCCCAGACTAAAAATTCTCTAAAATTTTCATTAGCCTGTAGGCTTCTAACAAGACTAAAGACTCATGGCTAACATAACATACAATTACGTGATTCAATCTTAATTTCAATTAATAAATATCACCTATATCCGTCTTTTTCTTCTACTGTACTCTATTTTCACCAAGTTTGAATTTGTATTCCGACTATTTTTGGTTCTTATTCTTTCATTTATGGTGCAGCTCTTTTTGAAAAGTTTACATTGACCCCCTTTTTCTGCTTGTTCTGAATGGCATGTTGTGCTTTTGTCACGGACGCATTTCAAAATTTGGAACTAGATTTCATAGTCAATGCTTTCCTTATCACTCTATCATTAACTAACTGTTTCTTCTTCTTTCTTTTTTTCAACTACGCTGTCCACATTCAATGTTGCATTCACGTTTGACTTTCTTACTGAGTGGAATGTTTAGTTTTTTTTTCAATTCTGTCACTATACACTAAATGTTACGTAGATTAGCTAAGTTAATAGAAAAAGTTTATAGTCTTTACCTTATTTTATGTGGTCAGACATAGAGGGATTCCAAATGTATAATCCCCATACAGTTGTTTTTTATATTCTTAGTATATCTATTGTGGTATATTACCTATAAATTACGAGGTGTAAAGAATTAGGATTATAGTGCTTTGGTCAGCCTAAAAAGGGAAATGGGAAAAAGAGAAAAAGAAGGGACTTAAATGGTTCTTGTCTAAATTCTAAAGGTTGAAATAGTGGCCAATACAAGAAATGTCATATACTCTTATCCTTAATTTTGTCTAAAAGTTAAAGTATTCTTAACCCTTCATCCCTTTTGATTGGAAATCATTCCCCCTTTACATGAACTCAATTTTCATTTCATTTGCAAAAAAAAATATCTCTTTCTCCACAATTTTCATCCCCCCCTTTAAAATGCGCATTTGCTTAAAATATATTCCATTCCTTAACGAGAAATTTAGAATCACATGAGCTTGCTTGACAATGTGCGTTCATTATTCATTATTTGGACACTTAGGAATAAGAAATCGTGGAAATTATTGACCAATTTTTAATGTTACATGTTCCTAGCACACCCACTTGTGTCTTTCCTATTCCCTTCTCCCCCCTATCATGTGTGGCATCAACGCGCCCCAATAACCCAAAAGCACCACTTCTCCACATTCCTTTAAATTTTTCCCTATAAAAATCCACCCTATCCCAAAATATCCTCCAACACACTCTTCTACATTTGCTCAAAAAATGGCCTCTCATTTTCATCTCTTTCTTGCCTCCCTTCTTGTTGTTCTTCTCTTCATCTCACCTTCCACATCTCTAACTTGCTCATCTCAAACATTTTCCAGCAACACCAAATTCACCAATTGTACTGATCTTCCTGCTCTCAAATCTTTCCTCCATTGGACCTTTGACCCCACTAAATCCACCCTCTCTGTTGCCTTCATTGCTTCTCCAGCTTCCCCTGATGGTTGGATTGCTTGGGGTCTCAACCCCATCGCCCCAGCTATGGTTGGCACACAATCCCTTATAGCATTCAAAGATCCCAAAGGAGCCATGGTTGTCAAAACTTATAACCTTACTTCTTACAAATCAATTACAGAGTCTAAGCTTTTGTACAATGTGTTGGATTCGAAAGCAGAGTCATCTAATGGGACCATGAAAATCTTTGCCACGTTGGAGTTGCCGGAAAATACGACGACGGTGAACCAAGTATGGCAGGTGGGACCCGCGGTGAAAGATGGAAAGCCAGTGGTACATAAGTTTGATACCGAAAATTTGGCATCTAAAGCTACTCTGGATTTGCCTGCTACTTCTTCTGCCGGTAATGGGAATAAGAATGGTGGTTCCTCTGCAAGTAATAGTAATAGTAGTAGCCAAAGTGGAAATGAGACTGGAGGATCTTCAAGAATTTTGAAGAGTGAAAATGGTATTTTTGCCTTCTTGTTCTTCCTCGGAGTTTTGATTTTGCAGCTTTAGATGTGCTTTTAGTTTAATTTTTGTCTGTTTTTTGTTTTGGCAATGTAATAACGACTTCTAGTGGTAGTGAAAAAGGAAACCAGTCTACAAATATTCCACATTTATGTTTAATCGTACACTACATTTTATTATAATGTTCCTTTATCATTCTAACCTGCTTGTTCTCTTAGCCTTTTAATGTGTTAAACTATTACAGTCACATCACTCTATAACAGCATTATTTCTGTATAATAGCTATTTATTATAAAAGCCGAGTTATTCTCGGAACAGAATATTATATTATATTATAATATATGTCCTCTGTAACAAAACTTTACTATAACAGTCAAAAAATTTCGGAACAAACAAGACTGTTATAGAAAGATTTTACTGTATTCCATATTTTAAAGTCAAAATTTTCATGATTTAATTACAAATCTACAAGAATCATTGAGATACCAAGACCAATTTGGTAGTCCGTCTATTCCAATTTATTTGGTAGTCTTTTCTTTCTTAGACCCCGTTTGGACGAGAAGTTTTATTTTGTGTCTCTTACAACTGACACTAGTTGTATGAGGCTTCTTTTTGTCTCACAAATTTGTGGACCCCAATCTTACACTTCTGGGTCCACAAAAATCTGAGTCCACAAAATTGTGAGACAAAAAAGTTACCTCATACAACTAGTATCAGTTGTATGAGACACAAAATAAAATTTTCCCCGTGGGACATAAGAATTTTTTCACTTTTTCTCAAAAAATGTTCACTTTTTTTTTTTTTGAAATCAACGTTTGATCATAAAATTTCAATTTTCACTTGAAGATGAATTTTGAAATTATTCGAAAATTTGAAAAACTCCAAAAATGTTATTTTCAAAATTTTCACTCAAATCACTCACAAAACTTCAAAAACAACCCAAAATTATATTCACGTACAAACACAACTCTAATTTTCAAATACCATTTTCTCTTGAAACTTTGTTTACGTTTTTTTTTTTTAATTTTACAATTCTTATGTCCAAACGCCCACTTAGTTTGTCTCGAAACGAAACAAACTCTTTTTTTTTTTTTTTTTTAACGTTTAAATCGATCCTTTAATTTTACACTTTTCGTTTTACTTTAGTAACATGTTGTTACAATTCATACAAAAAGCAATATGAACCAAGTCAAATCTAATATCCAGGGAAAGTCTAGAGTAGTACTAAGAAGTTGTAACTACGGTATACCAAAAGGAGATAGACGTGGTGATAGGTGTGGCGCATAATTTAATTTCAGCTACCGAGGGAAAGAAAGAATGATACTCTATACCTTCCGTTTCCCCTTTCTACTTTAGTTCCTCATTAATTTTTGTAACTTCATTTTTTAGTTAATGCTTGTACTATCAACAATAAGTTTTGCAGTGAGAAGAAACAAAGAATCAAAGATGGATCGACTAGCAAAAGAAAATAAACATAAATATAAATATTTTAATTTCTGAATATGATGTTACAAAATTCTTTATTTTTCTCCATTCGCGGACGTGGGAAGAAATGACAAGAGCAATATTATCGGTTGGGTACCAAACCTTGTTTTACGATGTAGGGTAGGTGTTTCTTTTTTTTTGAGTTTAATTATCTGGTATCCGAGACTCACAAACTCGACTAATTCAAATTTGTAGAATAGAGCTCTCTATCAAAATATGTTCTTTATTCTTAAAGATCAAAGACATCTGATTAGAGATGGAGGGTGTTGGGTGTGCGAACAAAGTCCCACATTGGTAGCTGAAAAGATTGGGAGTCTACATATAAGGTGTAGGGATCTCTTAATGGTGTGAGGCCTTTTGGGAAAAACCGTGCGGGCTTGGCCCAAAGCGGACAATATCACACAATGTTAAGAGTGTCATTGGGCTGTTTTAGCCCAACAACTAGTATCACAGCCCAGGTTCAGCGGAACGAGTATGGAGATGGCGGAGAGTGCAGGGCGGTGCACACACAAGAAGAAGCTAGTTGCGGGCTTCGGTTGCCATAATACTCTAACAATGTGGGTGGCACACAGTGAATCTCGAAAATTGACCCGTGGATCGTGGTAGTGGACCACGTGGAACTTAGTTCGAGGGGGAGATTGTTGGGTGTGCAAACAAAGTCCCACATTGGTAGCTGAAAAGATTGGGAGTCTACATATAAGGTGTAGGGATCTCTTAATGGTGTGAGGCCTTTTGGGAAAAACCGTGCGGGGTTGGCCCAAAGCGGACAATATCACACCATGTTAAGAGTGTTATTGGGCTGTTTTAGCCCAACACCACAATGTACCGTTCTCCACCGTTCAAATCCAAGACCAAGACCAACAACTGGTATCAGAGCTCCTCGACATAACCTTCAAATCCGATCTCCACCGTTCAAATCCAAGACCAAGATGTTACGAACACTCAGTCAAAATTTCAGCCCGATCCAACGGTTAACGAACCGGAAACGTGATTTGAAGTTGGCTGGTCGAAATAAAAATCTGCAGCAAAACAAATACTTTTTCCTCTCTTCTCTCTTGATGAAAGCTTTCTCAAAACCCACTCTTATGTGCTTAAGTCTTTCAAAGACTTGTATCAATGAGCATAGAATAATTCTCCAAGGTTGTCCTATTTATAGATCATGAGTGGTGCTTTCTCTTAAAGCCAAAACCCACTCAAAATAGGAATAAACCGAATCCAATTCCAAATAGGATTGGAAACCAAAAGAGAATACGATTAGACCATTGGGCCTTTGGCCGGATAACATGGGCATATGCTCAACAGAGGGATCTCAACCACTCACCACACTCCAATTTGTGGTAAGATAGGTGCTGTATTAATTAGATCGTACCTACTCAATCGTCTACTTTACTAAACATATGGTGGTTATATTAGTTGAAATAGAGTTATAAATTGTCCATTCGTATGATATCTTCCTTTTCTTTTAAAGAAAGAGGCATCTTAAAGTTAATCTTTCCACCACGTGAAAAAGAGAAAGAAAAAGGAAAAAGAAAAGTTGTTATAATGCTTCTTTAACGGAAAAGAGCAAAACGAAGAATCACAAGACCCAATTATGTCCTACTATTCTCGATCTATATCAAGACTGTGGCGAGTGACGAATCCTTATGTATTTGTATAATTAGTATTTTTTATTACGTAGACTACGTTGATGTAGTGACTGCTTCCATTTACAACACGCTGTCAACCTGATAGAGTACTATTGAATCACGTGGCACGGACCTTTTATTCAAGCAGTTAGTTGCACATTCTGTAATTTTGCACTTTTGTGCATGTGCATATCAATGCATAATCTTTGTACGACTTTAACTACATGATAAAGTATTGTAAGTGATAGAGTGATGTTGTTACACTTAATTGAGATTACATTCAACCTTTTGTACTCTAATTCGTAAATAAAAATAAGTTCTAGATTGCATTCCAAGTTACTTAAGAACTGAAATAGAAAAGGAAAAACTGAAAATACCTTTGATTTTGACAGTAGATACACTTGCAATTTGCAATTTAAGTGTACGAAATAATTAAATTAAATAGTTCCTTTCTTTTTCAGACTCCAAATGGTAAACTGATTTGTGTGCGCAGCTCTATCAAATTGAAGTTCTGTCTGATTCTAATTTAAGGTGTTGAGGATCACTTATCCACTTGAAAATGGGTATATGTTCAATTTGTATGAGATTGATGTTAGGACCGAAAAATCGGGTGTCGTGCGGAAGCTAGTAAAGTAAACCTTGAGTGACGATAAATCATACAACAAAACAGAAATATACCAAAAAAGACACAAACACATATAACGCGGTTCGGTCAATTGACCTACATCTGCAGATGGAGATGAGCATCCACAATGTAGCAATATGGGGTTTGAGAGTCGTGCTTAGGGGGAGAACTTTACGGAACGAGTGTTAGCGTGTCACTTGTATTTGCCTCTTCTTGAGTTTATTCTCTCGATATTTTGTATTCTCTTTTATATAGTGGATTGCTCATCTCCATTTGTGGATGTAGGTCAATTGACCGAACCACGTTATATGTTTGTGTCTCTTTTGGTATATTTCTCTTTTATTGTATGATTTATCGTCGCTCAAGGTTTGCTTTACTAGCTTTCGCATGACACCTGATTTTTCAGTCCTAACAATTGAATGATCAGTGTATGCTTAAAATTGCCCGTCTTACTATTTCTTATTTTTATGTTGTCTTTAGAGGAAGGAGATGCTTAAAGATTTCCACTGTTGGGAAGATAACAAGCAGATTCCTACAAAGTCAAATTTAATACATCTGCAATTCACCTACCAAACATAGAAGTAAAGCCCCTATAATTCTGGAGAGTTAAGAATCTCATATGATCTTGACACCTTATAAGTAATATTTCATTGTTTCGAAAAAAAAAAAAATATGGTTAGAGTCGTGAATGTCAAAAATCATAGCAGTTTTTTTCTATAAAATGTTGAAATTGAAGCTACGACTATTGAAAAATAACTACGACCATGTGGATCTTTTATTTAATATTTAATTTAATAGAAGAGTTGAATCATTGACTAGCTAGCTGGATCTATTGTAATCTGTCTTCCTTAATTAGTCTCAGCCAGATGGAATAAATTAAATTTGGTTGTGGGTTGGGGAGATGGAAGAAACCAGAGACCAGGTGGCCTTTGCTTCAAAAAAAATGAAGAATTTCAACCAAAATATTTTGAACAATTATTTTTGGACCAAACACCAAAGTACTGAAAAATGTTTTACTTTCTTGATGTTTGGTTAAAAAACAATTTTTGCGAAAAAAATAAATCAAAACAAGTATTATGAAGCAAACACCACCTGTTGAATAGCTTCTCCAAAGACAAAATTTGCCCCTCTTATTAGCTTTAAAATTTCAAGGCCATCAGTCCTTCAATTCCCTCTTTCCTCCATGGTCCAGACCACTATATAAAATAAAATAAAATAAAAATTAAAAAAAAAACAGACAAGAGACCAATTTATTGGTAAGTTGACATTGTTTATATTGTTTTGGACCCCAAAGAGAAGAACTAGGAATATAATGGTTATGTTACGAAGAGCTAGAAGCTGCTTATTATTAGTAACGATGTTTCTGAAGTACAGCAGGTCAAAAATTTTTAGTATTCAAATTAAAATTTGATACGAAATTTGTAAATTTGCTTCAAACCTCGTCTAATTAATGGGAAAATTTAATT